TTATACAAGCATTTTTTTAAAAGCAAATTCTTATCTAAGATACTGTCGCAGCCAAGAATTTTAGAATGGCAATATAATGATGAACTTAGACAAAAATGCCTAAAGGAAACAACTGCGTTTTAAATATAAATCAATATTTAATAAAGTTAATTGTTAACCTCCAGTGTATTCATATTTATTGATTGCTTGAAATGCACTACTTGACTTACCTAGTGCACAACTATATGGATTTAGCTTTGTATCCCTGGTGAGAAATTTAGGCAATGCTGTAATAGCATTCTTTCATAGAGCCATAATATGGAACAAAAGGGTGTGCACTGCTGTGATATTAGAAAAAAGCAAGAGTCCAGGAGCACCTTAAAGACTAACAAAATTTGTGGCAGGGGAGGAGCTTTCATGGGTCACTGCCCACTTCTTCAGATACCAGGCATTTAAAGATGCCACTCTGGAAAGACTCAAAACAACATGAATGCTCATTAAATCTATATAGCAGAACACTTAACTGGAATTATTACTTTATCCATCATCTGTAGAGTACTTAAAAATGACCCCTGCTACCCAGGGACAGTTTTCTAAGCTATTGCACAGTTCCTACAAGTGTCTATAGAAGCCAAAAAGAACAATCGGTACCATAAGGAAGTGAACCACTAGAAAGAGATGGTGGCAGGGTGGGAGTCCAGGAATGAAGAACATTGGTTAGATATTAGCATTTTAAAACAAGGCATCTGTTGAAAGGCTAATTGGAGAAATTTAAATTTGGAGGGCCCTTAACCATGGCCCAAGTATGACCTCTCACCCGCAGTCTTTTACAAAGAGTAACAAACAGGTCTTTGATAAAGGTATAGAGGCCGGCAGGCACCCCTTGTAATACAAGTGCTATGTCGAACTGTTCCTTGTATGACCCCTTCTTCGGTTCACGATGGGAAAGATATTATTCATTTATTTCTGCAAAAGTGTTGGATATGACAGGTGAAGTGATGGTGTGGTCATAGCCTTTGTACAACCGGGATTGCTTCCTGAAGTTGGGCCTATTCCAGCAACATTTGATAAAATCAAGGTAATAAGGTCAGACATCGAGGGATTTATGCTCAAACTGTGCTAAGGGCTGGGTACATGCTGTAGTATAGAATCTAAATTCTGTGCCAAAGAAACCTAACAGTGCCCTCAAAATATGCTATGAAGATTCGTCAAAATTATATACTATGGCTTATGAACTACCAGCTGCCAATGCAACACCCTGGCTCATCTTCCCTGCATTTTCCTTTCCCAAGCGTACCTTTTATCCCCGCAAACCTGCTGCTGGAGGCTGCAGGAGCCAAGTGGGTTAGGGAGCTGCAATAAGGCAGGGGAATCAGGCAAAACTTTACCCTTCTCACTCACAGAAGGCAATTTTATTTCATTTATAATCTGCTTTTCTCACAGAGGCTTTGACAAATTCTACCCCTTTACTACATTCCCTGACCTGCATGGCTTTTTGTCCATGTGAATGCTGGATATATAAGCAATAAAATCTCTATATTTTTTGGGGGAATGGTGAGAAACTGGGTAGACTGAAGGAGAAAACTAGGCAAACAAATTATTTACACCCTGAAAACAATGCCAGCCTAATTAGACCTGCACCCTTCTAAGCCATGGCCTTCAACAGATGAGTTTAATACTGTTTAGGATGACACTGTCAGAGGCTTAAAGGACTCAATTTGATTTGTACTGAATCAAAGGTTAATAAATGATGTGTAATAGTATATTTTATCTTTAGTACAGCATCCCACTTCCCATAATGGATGAATGGATACCCACTCTGCTGTTACTTGCAAGTCGGCAAAAACACAGCCAGGATGTCTGCAAAGCCTTTCATTTTTAGACTGTGTAAAAAGGAACAAAAAACTATGGCAATAATAGGCCCTCAGGGCTGAAGAATATATGAAATGCTGAAATGCACAAGCTGGAGTGTTTTAATATCAGGAGAGCCAAGTGGAGATTAGCAAGATCTCCAGACCAACCAGAGTGGAGCTGTTTCAAGAGGGGATGGCTCTTCCCGGGCAGAATCAGAGACCACACTGGAAACAGGTGGGAGAGAGAGGAAAGTATAAAAGGGCCAGTGCACATCCAAAGCTACACACAAAGCAATGTCTGAGTTTCTAACTTCAAGTCCCCACCTTCCTCCCAAATCAATATAAATCACTTTACAGATTTCAGCAGGTGATAAACCTGAGTCCCAAAGCACACAGTACTGAAATGATGTCTTATATGTACTTGGGAAATTCTGAAACGACTCTTTCAGAAAAGGATGGCGCAGTGCCCTTCATGTATCACCCTGATATCACAATGGGAACCAGACGTTGTCTGAGCTGTGGGAAGAATGGCTAAAACACATCTGTGTCAAAGAATGGCTAAAACACATCTGATGTGTTTTCTGTCCAAGTTCCTGGATTACACTGTATGACCGTCATTTGAACATTTATTGTTAAATAAATATGTGCCACAGAGATGCCAAGACATTAACCGTGCCATCCTAAGCAGAAGGGCACCCTTTAAGTCCATAGAAGTCAATATGGGCTTTGCTTGGAGTATATCTGCATAGGACTGCACACTAAATCATAAAGTGCCTTGTGGGGAGATATCCTTTGTAGGGGCCTCTTTGGCACAGCTGCATCAATATTCATATGGGACTTGGGATTATACCTTTCAGTTTTTAAAGTGCACAATGTAGTCTTTGAGCAAATCATTAAATTGGTACCATTCCACTTAAATATTTACTATTCCAGTAATGGTTGGATGAGTACAGGGGTGACAAATGAATTTACCAGAACTACGAAATGTTTGGCGACTGATTGTTTCAGACGCACTCCTAGCACTCTCTCACCCACATAATGAAGCTCCAGACGCATTTCAATGGACAATCCCAAAATCAAAGGCACTGAGTGAGCATGGAGAGGCAAACAGCCCCTTGAGGATGGAATACAGTAGCAAAGCACTGAAGGGACTTTAAAAGCTAGCCAGCCGGGTGTGGAAACCAGCTCATTAGAGCACAGTGAGAATACATAATAGAGTGAAGGGCACTATGTAGCAGGAGCAAGAGAGGCAGCAACGTATTTAGACATGAAACTCAATTGGCCAAGCTTGTATTTATCAGTAATATGTTACTTCCTACATGGTCTAAAACACTGGAATGGATGTATAACTATGCTATAAAAGGGAAGTTCAATGTGTGTTTAAGAAGTGTTGGTGCACTTCAGTGCCAGGAGACCAAATTTCCCGAGAAAATTATGAATAGGGAGCTGTAGGAGCCTACGATTAAGCAAACAAACATTCCATAACATCTCTGCCATTTTACTCTAGTCTTTCTTTGTCAGTGCAAGTATATGAGCCACCAGAATTTCTGTATTTTTTTCTTCTTCTTGGAGAGTCACAGGACTCAGAAAAAATCTGGGACAAACACAACTAAGGCAGCCTGATTGTGCTGCCACTGGCAAGGAAGAGCGCAATTCACACTCACAGGGTGCGATTTAAGAATTTTAACAAAGAAAGTAGCAAATGAAACCCTATGGAACGACAATGAAATGTGGCTCAGGTCAGGCACATCATTGTAGTGCAATAGATTGATCCGTCATTCACGATTTGATCACCACTGCAGAATAAATGCAAACCATACCCAAGCAAAGCCGTATCAGCTGCCTAGGATCTCTGAATCTGGCTCTCTGAGCCAAAGTAAACCTCCAAAGGCTGGCTTTGCATAGCCTCAGCAGATTCTCTGAGACAACACTGCCTCTGGGCTAAACTAGACATGATGGAGTCCTTGCGGCTGCCACAGAGACATGGCCATTTTAAAATGCCATGAGGGCAGCATGGCAGGCTGAGCAGCCCCCCCCCCCCCCCGGTGCCTTAGAAAGTGATGAAAAGGTGGCCACATCCCTTCACTCCTGCAGCTGTTTTGGCACTTGAAAAGGCACAGAGGGAAGTCACAAGGACACTGTAACATCAAATTTGGCCCTCTGACTCATAATACAGTAGCTACACTGTGTGCACATACATACATGCGGGCCCTTCCCCCCCATACACGTATTCCCATGACCCACAAGAGCTGGGAAGATTCATTCATCTGTAAAGTGCTTTGAAGGTTTAAAGCGCTCCGTAGATGCTAAGTATTAGCTCTGTGTCCTAGCACAACTCTCAAGGCAGTCACTGAAAGATTACAGACTGCATGGGTAGCATAGCCTGCCTAGTTTGGTGTGAGCCTAACCTTCTTACTAATACTTGTGGCTTATGCAAGACTCCTTCCTATCTCCCCAAGTTTTGCCATTAACTTCAGTTTGTGCATGCCTCCCCCAAAATAAAAGAATTTCTGAATTTGCCTTAAAACAGTGACTCTCCCACAGTTTTCATTAAAAGAGAATTTGTCAGATTAGCTCTCATAAACAGCTGCCTCAGGACACCAAAGGGGACCTAAAACAACTATTCTTGTTGAGACTATATTAAAAAAGCACTATTTTTTCAGCAAAATACAGATACATTTTTACAAGAGGTTTAAAAGCTGGAAATTTTGAAAAAGGGCTCATTAGGACTTCAATTTTTAAAACAGATCAATCCCAAATAATAAAAATATTTTTTAAAAAATTGACTGTGCTATTCTAAAATTGAAAACTTTTGTATTTCCAGTGCACGATCATTTCCAGGTAGAAATAAGGAATTTACCTTTATGCTTTCTGTGTTAAACATTTCAAATTTATACATTCCAATTTACTAATCCCCTGCATCCTGTAGAATAACTGACGTGAATGAGACTAAGTATACTGCTCTATACCCACACACTGGCAGCTTGATTGTATGTAAATTTACTAGAAGGAAGCCCCAAAGAGTTCAACAGGACTTGTTCCCTAGTAAGGTGCACACATCCTTAATAGTCTAAGGCAACAACAAATTGAGTCTACAGAATGTCCTGGGGCAATGAAGCCAAGTTGCTGGGAAGAATGGAAATTCTCCCATTCTTGTGCAGGTCTTCGCTACATGGAGGTTGTCAACACACAGAGAACATTAGTCATGTACTGTAGCTGAACTAATGCTTCATAGTCCCCTCCTGAAAAAAAAAAGGGGATTCATCAAATAAGTATGGCTAGTATGCTCTGTTTGGTCTAGAGACTGCATATTGTGTAGGCCTGCAGTAAAGTCCGTGTACCACATTAATCCAACATTCTCATATTCTTAGAATTTAGAAGGCCACAGTATGCTTATCTTCCTGTGTAAATATGATTTTACTCCTACTTTCATTATTCGGAAATCCCTGAAATTTTACATAAAGCCATTGTGACTACCGCATCTCAGTTAATAGTATCAAGCTGCAGGACTAATAACTGAGAAGTAATTTCATAAGCTGTAGCAGTGGAGCTGGGTGACATTGACATGTGCCTGATACTGGGGGAGAATGGCGAAGGGATGTACGCACAAAGGGTTAACCCCTTTGCTCTGCCCTCCCTTTCCAATAAGGACTTGGAACAGCAACATGTGCCCACTCAACAGTTGCTTCTGGTAACATGCTGAGAGAGGCATGGGAAGGAACATTCCTCCCCATTTGCTTAATAAATATCTCCCAAAATATTTAGTAACTTTGTAAACATACATGATGATTCAACATACAGTAAAATTTCTTTTTCCTGAACTCAGGGACAGACTTCCTTTGGTCTGCCACGACACTGCAAGTGAATAAAAGATTGGGAACGAGGACAAAGTGTCTCCAGGCAGCATAGAGACATGGAGAATAATGCAAGTTACTGGCAAGCCTACTGAATAACATAAAATAGTTTAAATCAATCAATCCATGCAAATAGAGATGAAAACCCCGTCAGCCAGGGCAGCAATGTCACAAGTTCATGGTGGTTGGGGAATTGTGAAGTGACGATGGTGGAAACCCAAGAGACCGCTCACCCCTCTAGTGGGTGAAGAAACGTGGCAATGAACTTCAGCTCTCCAGTACATGCGCTTTCTTTCTTCTCAGAAGAAGTCTGGTCATCACTGAACACAGAGCTAATCAGGGGAGCAAAACATACAGCCCATCCCAATTCTCACTGCACCCAGTTGGGGGGGGGGGGGGAGACGACGACTGCATTCTTCCAGAACACAGCCCTCATGGCTTTATAACTGGAAAGTGTATAAATTAAAAACTACCTCACAATGATGACAGTTATGAACAGGTACTTGGGTTAAACATGACGTGCTAGTGCAATAGAGCTCAAAGTCACAATTCCCTTGATCCTGACATGATTGCAGGGATATGATCTGATCCCTCAGCTTCTGCAACTCTGGTCCTCTAGCCTGTGGACAGTGACTTCCAGATTTCAGCAGAAAAGGCAGGGACTCTGCCTCTTTGATTAATCAGATATGCTGAGGTAGGGAAACCGACCATTTAACTTCAGTAAACAAGGCCTCTAACTGCAGCAGGCTGTGTTAAGCAGTGATCTTTTTCCTAACTAAAGAACACAACCCAAGGCATGGCATCCTTCATGGTGACATCCATTTGGGTGCCATTGATGTAGCACCTCGGAAGGAGCACCACCCTTCTCCATTGCATCTATTCTTACTCTTGACCTGACCGTGACCAGCTCCTCCAAGTGTTATCTCCACGATTCAGTGTATGGGACTGGCTATTTGAGCCACAACCTCTTCTCTCCTGTACTAGAGGGCTGAGATCACAAGGTCCTCTTGTTTGGCAGGGCTGGCTGCATTGCCAGTGGGA